ATTCGGAAGTCATAAAGAAGAAGCAGGCGAACTTGCTCCTTAGTAAGAGGGTAGGGCTGGTTCATGGCTGGAGAGCACCAGGGCTGTAATAATATACGGTTGTATGCCGAAGGACACGACCTACTTATAAACACACGCAGAACATTCTAGCATGCTCTGGAAAAAAAATTGTACTGGATATTCAAGAAATTCCGAGAACTTTCTTTCCAATCAGATATCAAAATATTATTCATGACTGAATAAAAGGAAACAATTAAAAAATACGAAATAACTTTTAATTTTTTTATTGCAGTACCTGTGTCAACTGTGTTTCCTGGAGCTCTGAGGTTTTCTCTTTAAACTTCTCCTGCACAAGTTTATGCTTTTGAATGGCACCCACTCCTGGACGCCTACGCATTTCTCTGTAAGTCTTCACAAACCTATGTTACACCAAGGATCTCCAGCCTATCCTTCACAAGCACAAGGACGATAACCCAATGACATAACATGAGAGGAGTCAGATAAAGCACCATTCCATTGCCAGGAGCAAGGAATCACCTTCTTGCGATACTTGGTGACCAGTCCACATCAATTCCTCTCAGGATCTCACCACCTCGGCATAACTAGGTATCACACAATCGTGGCATCATTCAGGATAGAAGCTCAAAGTAGGTACTCAAACTATTATCATGACTGATTTCATGTCCAGCTGCAAATGTGGGCAACTTGGAATGCTTCCTGTTATAGGTCTTATCAGGTAAATAAGCAGATTGCAACAAAAAAACCAGAGTAAATGAAATTTGAGAGACAGACATCATACCTGAAACAATATTGAACTTGTAATGCACATTTTCATCCTTTAGTTTGATAATGAAAAATTGGAATGCACCAATTGGCCAGCCCTAGAAACCTGAGAAAATGTAACATATTCTATTTATAAAATGTATGTATTATATTATATAGCTACTTTAGCTCTGTATCAATAAAATGAAAGTTTCTTTCTGTTTCGGTACACCAGCAATCCCATATTAATTTTTATTGCCACAAGTTGAGGCCACTCAACCTACATTATCATGTTCGCTGTTACAATCTATTAAATCTCAAACAATATGCCTGATATGAATAGCAATTCATCCGTATTTGATTATCCAGAAAAATCTTCAGTTCTCAGTCAATATTAGTTTTCATGATTGATATGTAAAGGGTACCAAAGTGGCAAGACATGATTTCCACCATCAGATTTTGCCAACTTGCAAAACGGAAATGGTTGGACTGTTTATCAAAAACTGGGAAATCCTAGTGTCTGAACTCTTTCTCAGGCTTTCTCAAGGCATTCAGGCCCACAATGAGTTCTTTCACTAGCCCATGATTAGCCCCTCATGCCAACATTAAATATCTTCTCCCCAATGCTTTCATGAGCTTATTGAAACTTCAGAACTACAAGAGCAACAGAATTATGCTTCTGAATTTTCAAGTATTGTAACTTGCAAGTGCATCTTATTACCAACCAAAATTAAGCAGCATGTGACCTGATCTCCCATTAGACTTTGACTTGCCAACTTAGCAAGGCTGTGATAAACTGAGAAAAATGGTAGCTTCTTAAATTGGCTCAATTTTCATGTCCATGCCCTACAAGATCTGCATTATGGTAATTATAGATTTGTGAAATTGCTTATAATTTAAATGGAATTCACAAGGTACCCAAGTGTGTGAGGTGGTCACTATAGCACTTGAGGAGAGAAATCCTCTTCTCTAATCACATCTAGCAACAGCCTAATTTTGTCAAGAATCACTGTATCAAGACATGCTTTCTTTCCTCTACTGACCAAATAAAAAGTACCATTTTCAAAATCTAGGATTACACCCAGCAAGTAGAGTGTTGGCATCATAGATCAGACAAATGATATAGTACCAGATGCTCCTCTGAGGCTGGAAGCTGTCCTTAGCAATTTAATAAGACAACAATATCATGGAGTCCACCATATTTTTTTCTTCATGGAACAAATACACCTCACAAGTGAGAATGTGCATGTCTCAAAGATTTAACTTAGAATATAGGGAAAATACAAATACTCTCACTTCACTCAGGTTGGAAAAATCCAAAAATAAATACTTCCTCTTCCATACCTATGTTGGAATTCATGACTTGTAATTGATAAAAATCAATGAAGATCCATATTACAAAACCATAATACATACATGTACTTTTATGGAGCTAAAATCTGGTGGTGCCACCATGAGAAAAATTCACAGCAAAGGGTTACACATCACTAAATTGAGAACCTTTGCTCTCTGAGAGGACTACTTTTACTTTTAATTGGAGCTAATTAAAAGATTAAGTAACACCTACTTGCTGCTAAAGACTCCCATTTCTACATTACTCCATTTGTAGCTCCAATTTCTACTGAAGGATGTTAAGACCAGCAATGAAAAAGTTACATTTAATTGAAATATGATTCTGCAGTGCCTACATGTATGACTCCAGTCTAGGCCCATGAAGCCTATGTTTTAAGAAAAGAGTTGAACGGAAAACTGCACGTTCTTGCCAAGCCTCAAAATATCCATTTAACAGCTAGAAGTGTGAAACTGCACATTCGTCAAATAAAAATTTGAAAATACAGGGAATGGAAATTGAAAGCATGTCCTAAATTTATATCCTTGTACTTGGAGAACAAAACTGCAAAACCCTCACACATAGGACTTGTTATTTTGTCACAGCAGAAACTGCTGCAATTCTTAAAGCAAATAGAATGCAATTTGTCAACCCATGTGAATTCCATATTCTAGGAGAGTATAGGTGATCCAATTTCTTTAAGTCAAATGTTAGTGTGCAGAAAACATGCCCAGGTGTATGAAAGAAATTAGCATGAATTATGGAAAGCAAACCAGGGCAAGCAAGTAAAGATGAAAGATGTATGATTAAGACTGACACGATACTCTCTGAATTCAATAAAGGTTCCTTAGGTAATGAAGGAATGCAATCCTCTGAAATAGCACCAGGAGAGATGTACACTACAAAACAATCAGTTCACTGTTGGATTTTATTAATTCCATATTTGCTCCCCAGGCCTCAAACCTCAAACAAAAGGCCCAATTCAAAATATATATCATACACAGCAGACAACTGGTCATTTTCTTCCTTGACCTGACCTGACCTTCCAACTTCCTTCAAATCATTACACAGGTATGCAAGAAAATAGAAAAACTACTACTTGCATGTTCTCCCCTCCCTCCTTTTCCACTTGGGATGTAAGAGCACTTTGGCAGACTGAGATTTTTCCAATTTCATACAAATAATTTTTATTGCAAGGGTCGATGGCAAAATTCAGAGATATGGAAATATCACTATGGAAAGACCACTTTGTACAACTATGGAATACTTTCAAAACACACAAACTATACCATTGGTTTACTCCACAGACAAGTTCTGCCAGGTGTGTTCTAAATAACCCCCATCAATGCTCATTGGACAATACAATGACAATTATTTCCACAGTAGTACCAAGGGATATGCAACATATTTCAAGTTCAGCATTTACTGGACCAAACTCTCAGCATACCATTCAGCTGAATTGGAGGTATTAAAGTGTAAGAAAGTGATTCCTAGTGTGAAAGTCACATCATGTAAAATGTCCTATGAATGAACAAAACTCAAGTTGTCTTAAAATACAATGGGAATGCAGGCATAGAAATTTATTAGAAATGAGGTAACAGACATATGGTGGCACATACATCTGACCTGAAACTGAAAGGAGCACTGATGCTGTACTGAAAGGTGTTGAAATGATGAGAGATGAATCATGCAGCACTCTGTGCAGATCTCACCAACTTAAGTGATTAAAATTGAAGAGAGCATGGAACAATCACAATTTTCATCGGATGACAGCTGCACTGTACATCAATTCATGCCTATATATATTAAAACACCTTGAAGAGGTTCTTTTGCATCAGATCAGGGTTAGCATCACAAGGTGTAGAATGACAAGTATCATTGTACATTGACCATAATTTTGGGTTTTAAAAAAAAACTGCCCAGGAATTTCTGTAAATGCCAGAGAATTTCTGAACTGCCAGAGTTTTTCTATGGTTGAAGCCAACATCATAGTCTCTTGAGAGCACGTTTTTTGTCCTTCATCCTTTTGTTTTCACTCAAAGCCATTTTCTTGGAGACAGGGGCATCAGAGTCAGGTGCACAGAGATCCTCACCATCCAGTTTCATTCCACGGGGCGGTCTGGCATGAATCTCGGCCATCATGCGGGCTTGTTCGCAGTATGCATTGTAATCCTCCAACAAGAGTTTCCCAGCTTCCTCGTTGAGAGCTGATTCTGGGTTGGGGACAATAAGGAGACACTTTACAGTCAGGAAGATGTGTTTCAGCCCAAGATCTGGTTTCCAGTCCTTCTTCAGAGTGTTCACACAGATCTCTCCATTACGAGCCACATTGGGGTGAAAGATCTTTGTGACAAAGAATCCTTTTGGGGGGGCCTGTGGGAAGTCCTTTCCGAGGATGAGTCTCACTCTAAAGACACCTCCTGCATAAGGCGTTCCTGGAGGGCCTGTTATGAGAGCCTGGATGTCAGTAATGTCCTGTTCAGATGGCAATGGCCTGATGCCTTCAGGAGGATTTTTCACAAGTTCACCGATTTCTTTTGCCACTTGCCTCAGCACTTGCGGGCACACGTTCTCAACATTTGAACTCGAGGCAAAAGAATTCACTGACATTTCTGTGGCAGACTTACTAATAATTTCTTACTCTTTCCCTGCAATGGTATACCAGTGAAGATATAAATGCAGAGCCACCAAGTAGAGGGCTGTCTTGGGGGACTTCAATACCAGCAGTGTAGAAATGTGCAATGCAAAAGGACTTGGTGGCTCTGCCATAAAATCACACAGCATAGCAGTAGTTATGCCTAATTAATTCATTGGATTCAGAATTTTCTTGGATATTTTTTTGCCCTTCCCCCTCCCAAAAAAATTCAGTGAGTGACCACAGCTAGTTTAAAGAATCCAATGGGTTAAAAAAGTAAAGGCAAATATTTCAGCAGTGAACCAGCAGTGGAGTTCAGCTTGTCACCCTGCTAGGCACAAGCCATCACTTGATCAAAATACAATTGGATACAAATCAGCATTCATTCAGGAGTATTCCAACTTGAGGTCAAAATTCTGAGCAGGCAAAACAAAAATTGAGCAGATACAAGTTGAAGGAAGCCAAGAATGAGTGTCATATTGCAGATGCAATAAGTGAAAGACATTACACCTGACCATATTTCCTTTGATACTACCTTAGGGTATGAATCTCATCCTAATCAGGACCAAGGCATATAATCTCCCAATCCCACAGTTCACAAGTATCTGTGTATCAGAATGTCAATCTGAAACAGTAACTTTGATCCTTCCCAAAAACCAAATAGACAATACTGTTATGTCACCTGTGTTGCAGTATAGCAACACATAGGTGACATTGACTTCAAAAAGTATGAATCAATAAGATTCCAGCAAATGTTAAAAAAGCTTCATGCTGACAAAACATGCATAAACCAGTTTCACTTCCATTCTGAAAAGTAGGCTTTGAAAAATAAAACCTGAAAATTCCCACAAGGTCTGTGTAAACAGCCATGTTAAGCAGGATTAACCTGCAACATCGGTAGTAAACCCACCAATTGGCTCTTCTATACTCAGCTTCTTTCCACATTGACTAGTTAAATCTCTTCAATCAAAAATAAATACAGTTTTGAGGAAATCCATGAACATCAGACATGAAATACCCTCTAGGGCTGCATAGTCTGCCATGTGTCAACTCAAAGGAGTGTGGGAACTCACGAACTGTGGCCCGCAACCTGAACTCCTCTTCCGCATCACCAGGGTTCTGCATTAATGCTGGTCCCATGCTCTGCCTGCCACCTTTCAATATCGAATTTCTGGACGAAATACCCATAGATGTCATTAAGGCTCAGAAGCGATTCATGAAAAGACTAATTTCAGGCACTACTGCACTCACAGCCAAGCAAAGGCATTTCGAGCAGTCTAAAACCTATCACTTCAACTGCAAGCTCTCATATTGAACATTCGAATCACATTTGAGAACATTGTAAGCAGGTCCCCCAATAGTAACAAATTCAAAATCATCCTGACCATGATTGGGAAATCATTGATCACTGACAAAATTAAAAATCCTGACGAGGGTTGCAAATTAAGATCATGAAAGAATGGCAATGACCAAATGGCATCATCGGAGACCACATTATAAAAATGGCAAAAATTGGTCAGTCAGGTATTAGAGCATGCGGCATGTTCCATTGTGTCCATTGATGAGCCCACAAAAGAAATGCATTGTTCCCAAAGGTTTCTGTCATCTCTTGATGTTGTCAACGTGGACCAGTCAGAGGTGTGCACAAAACGAGCCTGCAGCAAGTGTGCCATGAATTTTGTGAAAAGTACATGACTAGCATGAATACAGTGATGGGCAGATCATAATCTCAAACACATGAAAGGCATGGAAGCAATCAGGTCATATGCAAAATCAGGTAATTTGGACAAGCCACAGGAAAACCATCCAACCAAAAGCACTCAAAATCTCTCACCAAATCCCAAAATTACTCATTTGGCTTCATGGTATAATGCATGATGTTTTGGAGCCTGAAACCTCAATGTCCTCCTAACTAATAAAACTAAGCAGAGATCCTCAAGAATCAACTCTTACCAGTGCTTACTGCACTGGGCCACCAGAAATTAGGTTCTCAGGAGAAGCACACGAGGTGGCAAATCTCGTCTTCCCCTCATCAAAATAAGATGAATATCCCGTCAAACAATCACAGCAACATGGAAAAGTCACGTAAGTATCTGAGCATTACAATTCAAAACCTGCATGCATGAACTCCTGCAAAAAATCCTCAATATAAGGTGAAGAAGGCAGTGGAATGAAATTGTAATTGAAGGAGCCTAAATGAGCCAATGAAGAAAAAACCAATTTGGAGACAACAATTAACCTAGCATAATAATTTCATATATGCATGCATAGAATTCAGCATAGTATTCTCAACCTTCAAAAGCAATGCAATGCAACAGCTTAAGAAATCCTGAATATGAACAATGAAACAAGAAGTCAATTTGGAAGACATTACAAATGCATAGGCAATATTCCCCCAATAATGTGCAATCATATGGAATCAGACATTATTATCATGCTCACTGATGATATATAGGCCAATATGAGACCAAACGCCTATTAATGTCAATGGCACTGCAAAGTCTTTGCCTATGAACAAAACAGTGGAAAGCAAAAATCTGTTAGACTCTAACGAGGCACCATGCTAAAATGAAGTTGGGGAATGAGGATGTAAATGACTCCAAGAGATCAAAAATAGATTATGCCTACCTGAGTCCTTGTCCTGCAATCATGCCAACAATAAAAAAAAACACCAGGAAAAAAGAATTCCCATTTTTTCAGAAATGCAATGCCTAGGAATTTAGCCTGACTAAAAGATGTCACCATGGAAATGGAATCAGAGTCCTGAAAAAATCCTGCAAGAACTCACCAGGCACTCATCCCAGGCACCCTGCGCTAAGTACAAGGGGGAAAACATCAATGACGTCACATGTAGCCATGATCATTCAGGATTTGGTGTGCACAATATTAAGTTCAGGAGTTTGCCATCACCCCAGACAAGGCAAAAATACAAGAAAAGAAACTGTGAAATGCCCATCACTGACAATCCGAGTAAAAGAATCCCTCCATCAGATGCACCTCAAAAAACAGACATGTTCAATTTTCATTGTACATTCATAGATGAAAAACTCCACAACGAACACATATTGCCATGATTAGGCCTAGAAGTTGGAATGCTACACGAGCAGAGTAAATGATACATATGAATCCACTAGGACACAGGGAGCACTGCAACACTCTTGATTAGGAGAAACTGGATCCATTTCCCCCAAAATCCAATCATCTTCAGTCAGAGAGAGACAAACAAAGGCCACAAATCCCCCACAATGAATCAATTTCAATTCATGCCAGGGCTGCAAGAAGTTGGCAATCTTGGAAATGCATGGGAGAAATCGCAGCAAATAGTACCCTGCCCACATCCATCAAGAATAGCAACCTGTGAGCAGGACAAATCAGAAAAAAAAAACCATATGCCTCAATCACAGAATGGCCCATTCTCAAGGCCTCATCACAGATTAAAATGACATCCAATTGCATCAAAAATGGCCCATGAATCAAAGGATTCTGATACTTACCTTGAAGGTAAGCAGGGGATGTGCCGTGCTTGCTATGCAGTGACCCTTTTCCTCAGCAAAAAACTTCCTCCTTTGTGGACAAAACCTATGCTACTTTCAAACTGCACAATAAATACAAGGTAGAGGTCCAATTGCCAATAAAGGAAACATTCAACAAAACACAATGTGAATCAAACAAAGGACAACAAATACCCTTGCATGATCAGACACAGCGCTTACATACCTGGATTATTGAATATCAATGCCAAGCGTCCAATCTGCCATACCAATGTGAGGTCTACATGAATCCCACAGGAGCAAAGCCCTGGGTGAGTGCATAAAACATCTCAAGTCCATCACTACAAACAAGCAAGTGTCCACATAGGCCACAATTCTCCCGAGGTCAGTTTGTGGAGAAACGAAAGTGGCGATTCAGCAATTTATAATTGTCTTGTTGAATCTGAGTGAGCTTGTTCAAGAAGCAACTTCCAAGCAATGTTGGAGATGCAAGGGTCACAATGGGAAGGAAACATAGGAAAAAGAAAGAAAATAAGTAACTCAGAACATAAGGAGAGGATATGCTGGGCAAAGAGATTACATATTAGTGCCAGCAGCATAGAAGCTCTGAGCATTGAACTGCCCGTATGATTGAGCAGCATTAGGTGCTCCACCTGCCCCAGCTGCTTGTCGTGCTTTGGCCTGCTGCTCAATCATGTCAGCTTCCTTGTGCATTCCCTGAGCTCTGTAGTACTCAATCCATTGCTGAGAGTAGTCAACTTTCCCATCTGCGGTCTTGTCCCCACCAACTTGAGCAGTACCAGGCATAGGCTGTGATGGAGCCTGAGCGCCAGCAGCTGCTCTTGCTTTCGTCTGCTGTTCGATCAGATCAGCTTGCTGATGCATTCCAACAGATCGGTAGTATTCAATCCACTGTTGACTATAATCTGGTTGGCCCCCTGTTGAATTTGATGCATTCGGGGCTGAAGCTGTTGGCTGTGACCCCTGTGGAGCTTGAGCAGCATTCCCATACTGGGCATAATATGCCGCCCATGCAGCGGCATTAGCATCTACAGCCTGCTTGTTGGGGTCACTCTGTTGCCCTGGCTGACTTGGCCATTGCTGATATGGATTGCCCCAACTTCTCCCTTGACCTTGAGGACCAGTTGGACCCCCCTGACCAAGGGGATATTGAGTGGGTTGCCCCCCTGGCCCACCTCCCACTTTCTCAAAAATCAGTTGCTTTGCATGTTCAATTTGGTCTGGTGTGCCACGAATAACAAAAACTTTTTCATTTGGATTTGGAGGAGGTCGTCTATCCAACTCACAATGGGCTCCTGTCTGCTGATTAATTCCCTTTATGGTTTCCCCTCCCTTCCCAATAACGAGACCACATTTGTTGGCAGGGACAGGAAGAAGAACTTCGTTGGCTCCACCAGCACCACCATTCCATCCCTGGCCAGATGGTCCACGTTCTCCCCACCCACCTGGACCTTGTGGCCCAGGAGGCCCACCATCAAAACTACGGCCTCGTCCTCTTCCCATCGCTCCATCCCGAGTCATGACAGAATCAATGAGTTCCATGATGACTCTCCTTGCTTCTGCAACCTGATCAGGTTTTCCAGACACCTGACAGATTTGCTCATTTGGATTGGGACCACGAGCCTGAGTGAACTGAACTTTGGCTCCACTCTCATTCTGTATTTTCTTGATCATCTCTCCTCCTTTGCCAATGATGACCCCAACAGCTGGCTGGGGGACGGCAATCGGTTCTACCAACGGACCATCTGGACCGAAGCTATTTCCTCCTCTTGAGCCAAACCCACCTGGAGAATCACCAATGAGTTCCATGACAGCCTGTTTGGCTTGCTCACATTTCTGTGGATCCCCTGATATGCGCAGGGGCTTGTCTCCTTCCTGTGCAGCACTCTCCTGCACTATGACCATCTTCACACCGATGCGTTCTTCCATTTGCTTGATAGTAGATCCTCCTTTGCCCACCACCAGTCCAACTTTAGGGCCGGGGATCATCAGGGTCATGACAGTATGATTGGCAGAATTTCCCCCCATCATCCCTGGACCTCTCATCCCCCCCCCGCCACCTCCTCCACCACTTCCTCCTCCTCCTCCACCTCCTCCTAGCATCCCACTGGGGACAGTGTCATTAGGACCCCCACTTCTTGTTGAAATAATCTTCTGGATCATATCCTTTGCTCTGTTGATGGCCTCCCTGGTACCAGTTAACGTGCAGGTCCGTTCATCACCCCCTCCACTATCTGCTGCCATCTGAACCTTCGCTCCCGATTCACACTGGAGCCGAGTGACTTGCTCCCCCCCTCGACCAATAATGAGTCCCACCATGTGGTCAGGGACTTTAATGTCTTCATTGATAACTGAGCCACCACTCTGCCTCATGGCAGCCAACTGGGCGCCAAATGGGTCATTCAATGCTGCCATCTTCTTCGATTCTGGATCACCGCCTCCGTCTTCTAAAGGCCGCTTCCTGTCAGCATTCGGTTGAATCTTGGCAGCTATCTGCCGTGCCCTCTGGAGAGCATCAGCATAAGCAGCAGGCACACTCATACCTCATAAGTTACCAGATTCATGCAAATTCACCTGTCAAAAGATGAAGTAATACAGAAAAATACTTCTAAGAAAAAACATTCTCCTACCACTTCTTTCCAGAACAAGTAGCCTTGGTTTATCTATGAGAGTAATCCATACACTAAAAAAAATACATCTCTATATCCCTATACACAGACCCAGAGAATGGCAAACTTGAGGAATTCAGCCTTTTCTAAGGCTGTGGTGTAGTTCACACAGAAAATAAAAAGACATTACTAGGGTACAAGCAGAAAGGAATGGCAATGTGATTGCTTCAAAGTTCCCAGAAAAATTCAAGAACCCCCATTGCCTTTATATTTTAGGCAGCATAGGAAAAACAATTTTTTTTTTCCCATGAACCTGAGGCGACAAATTGGAACTTCCCGGGAAGAATATGCAAGCAGACTAAGTGAGCTGCCCACCCTACCTCCATTCCCACGAACCACATTCACAGGTTCACAAGGGTTTTTCTCGCCTAATTTCAAGTATGATTTGAGATTAACAACAAAGATGAAAAAAGTGCATTGAATAGAACCTCCACCTTTTCCTGGACTATTATTCACTATTTTCACTTTCTTCACATATGACATGAATGTGTGTACTTATGCCAATTTTTCTAAACCTTTGGGTACCAGTTCTGTAAGCCTGGCTTTGCAGGGTTTTAGAGAAGCCTAAATTTGTCACATGTACAAAGAGGCAATAATGATTGCTAAAGAATTTATCCTGCATAGGTTCTTAATTGGTCCATAACTTACCCAGAGGAATCACATAGCATATCTCAAACATGCTGTAAGATGCTAAATTTGGCATAAAGTAAAAATTGCACCATAAAACTAAACTGCACACTCCTTTACACTTGCCATAGAAACACACTAAGCTAACAGAGCCCCATGTAAATTATCATCTTTAACAATACAGCAGCCTTAAGAGCCTAGACTTGCCATGAACATGGACAATATTCTGGTAGAATCAGGCTTGACCCAATCAAGTAGGTCCAGTGAATATGGAATTAATGCTGAGCCTAGAATACAACTGGGATTCAGGGATTAAAAAGGGAGGGACCTCAACCTAAAGCCTCCAGAAGTCTTGTTCCTGTATCCACTTGAAAGGAAGCAACCATGCTTCCTATCAAGCTGCATCTTTTAATAGGTTGCATTCCTTTGCTCTTCACCCCTCTTTAACCTACAACAAATGTATGCTTTCTCCTAGATGTTCTAATAAGTATGTGCATCTTGCATCTTCTGGGATGCTTCTACTTCTCCCAGAAAAAAAAAAAAAGAAATCACCAGCAGAGTCAAGAGACTAGATTTTAATTCACTCCCATAAGAAGTGAATGTGAATGAAATGAATAAAATGATTGTTCTGTCTTCTCCATTTCAAACTGATGATTGCAGACTCTGGTGATCAGAATCACAGCATACATGATCCCTCATGTCCATGGAGTTGATTTAAAGCTGTAACACTAGAACAACTGGGACAGTCACTACAACTGCTCAAAGATTTTTAATGCACAATGCTCTGCTCGTTTGAGAACTAAGGGCCTCTGCACTTGTAACTTTTCCTGCCAAATTCGGCAGGAAAAGTTACAATTGCAGAGTCCCATCATTTGGAACATTTTGAACAAGCCCAATAACATCTGGAAAAAATAAATTACATGTTACAGTATAATAGTTTGATACTACTTTTAATACAGCAGTCAAATTGACTGTTCCAGTAGTTCTAATGTTATAATAAGAAAAAAATGACACATGAAACAAAAGTAGTGGCCATCATAAAAAAAATGTTCACCTGTTTGGCGTTTGTTACCTATTCACCATCAGATTTAGTGCATCTGTTTCCCTGGCCTTTTCTTTGCATGGAAGCAATTATTGATGCAGCAATTAGCCACCTTGCAATAACTGCACTTCTCTCAAAAGATTCCAGGTGTACTCATTGCAACAGTTAAGAATTCAATATCATTCCAAGTAGGGAATCCACAGAAAAACAAAATTAGTTAAGTCCTTAAGTGCATAAAGGAATTTTTTTTTAAATTACCTGTCAAAGACAATTCTGAACTACAGAGACCATTATCCAGGACTGCTTCAGATCAAACAAATCAAGAGGCATTGCTACTTCTCTTTTCACATCTGTACCACTTGCCCCTCCTTGAGCAAAGCTGGAGGCTCCATGACTTGACTCAGATGTTAATGCCAGACATTGCAGGTTCAACATCCACTTGCACCCTGGCTTCTCTCTACCTTCACTACAACTAAATTCTGAACAGCTATGTAAGCCAACAGCTGATTGTAATATGAAAAAGTACCTTACTAGAACACAAACACAACAAATAAGCCTAAGAGGGTGACCCCGGATACAGCCAGTACAATTCATATTTGAAACTGGGGAGGCCACAATCCAATAAAGAGTGAGCTAAAGCCCTGTGTTCCATAATCAACATCTCTTACATGTTTTATCCTTCAATAATCCTGCCGATTTGTATTCAACTTATCCTCCCAGTGCAAGGCCTCACTCGACTTTGAGGTTTGTTCTGAGAGCCACTCTGCATGGACAAAGACTTTTCCACCTTGAGATAGTTCTCAAAGTGGAAAGTTACCCAGAACTTCTCCACACTCTCACCACAGAGAAGGCATGGAGTTAACCATTAACTTAATTGCTCCCTATGTAGTCTAGGTTGTGGTATTCCTTAATTGCTGATTGCAGTTTGGTCAAACGCTGGGTGGGCTAATAGGCCTAGGCACAAGGTATAATTTCACACAAGTTTTTCACACAGCTTTCACATAGCCCAAGTTACACTTATACGTCTTACACTCAAGCCTAGGCCTACCGGGCTACTCTCCACGGGTCGGCTTGCTCTACGCAACTGTGACGTGCGAACGGTTGATAAAGCGACTTTTCGCGCGGACGGTTAACCAACGGCACCTGGCCAACTTCCAGCTTCTAACGTTGACGTTTATAGAGTTTTCCTCTGGCTAAGCCAAGGAATACCTGGTTTGCATATGGAATGCGATCAAATAAAGATAAAAGAACATACAACATCTACAAGAAACAGAAAAAATAACTTTCGAGGGTGAACCTGGCTTAGTGGCTAACAGATCTGGACCGTTGGACCGTGCGGAGAATCTGGTGCCATAACGAACTATACCAGGATTTTCACGTCACAGGACGGACCACGTTGCGGACCTCAGTCAGCGTTACACTATAAAAAAAAGGTGAAACTGCGAAGAATCGGTGTGGAACGAACAACGTTCGCAACGTCGGGCCTAACCACGTCATGGAAATAGAAACACAGTCCCAGCGATGACAACCTTACGCTAACCTTACCCACAGCCGCATGCAACCCGTCAAATCGGAACTCAGAAGACGGATAAAAACTGGAATTCTTGCCGAAGACATGCTCGCACAACGAGCCCAACGGAACGGACATTCCTCCATCTTGCCGACCGCCTCGCGTCGCCTCGCCGAGCAGTGTTGCCCGATCGGCTGGCTGCTTTCAACCGCTCGCGTCATCTTCGGCTATTATGACTGACTGCATTTTAATGGGAACATGATTAGCGAAATACCTCATACCTTCTTTCCTAGCGAATTTAGAATTCGTCTTGCAACTAATCACCTTCAGAGCTCAGATGCTCAAACTTTTTTTTTCATATCCTGAGGTTGCAGGAAATCGCTCGATCCCGTCAACTGGAATCCAAACAAAAGTAAAAGGCTCCTGTCGGTTTGGAATGGAACTGACGTGTCATTGCAGAAACGGAGGGGCTCTACGGTGTTCTCTCTTACTGCCTTCGGTATTCACAATGGCAATTTTATGGACCCTCAGAAGATGGAACTCTTTGAACCTGCATTGAAAATTTTAAGTGAAATCGCTGGAGGGACTCAAAATCGGGATCTCCGTTCTAAATCCTCTCGAAATCCAGGCACCATCCGACTCTCTCCCTCTTCCCTCATCATAAATGGCTCTCCATTGAAGATCCTTCATCCCAACTCATCTCACAACGTACAAAATCTCTATCGGATATGCTCCTCGTTAGCTCTTATCTCTTCCAACCAAGATACAAGACACATTCCCGCCATTTATGATGTCATTTCTCCAACAAGCCCTCACAAAAAGTATTTAAAAAAAGCCTATTTATTATCATATTATTATGGGGGCATCAAAATGTGGAATTTCCATCTTAATCAGCTACGGTGCTCCCCAATTCTACCTAGATTTAAAACAGGCCTCGAAGATCGCTCGTTATCACGATACATACGTGCTTTTGGTTCCTTCCTGCTGGACGCACTCCAAAGATTTTTCTCTCTCCTCTTCTGTACTCCTGTGGCTCTTTTACGCTTCTCTCTTCTCTTGCTGTTTTCTTGTGCACTGTTTTGTGTTTGGTTTTGCCATATCTGAATTGCTTCGAATTGTCTCCTATGTATAAGTTGCTTCTATGTACTTGTTTATCGTCCTTCCTAATGTGTTTCATGCCTGTCCATGGAGCAACTGGATTATCGGTTGAGCCACTGTAAAGCCTGCATAACGAGGACAATTCACTCATTTGAAGTTGATGAAAAGTTAAATGAACGTTTCGGCTGTGAACACTGCTCTTTCTTAAACGATTCTGAAGGCATGGAAGAAACACGAGGGAATCCTGACCGGACGAGCATGCCGAATCCACGGGATTTTTAAGGAAGCAACGTAAATAAGAAAATGGAATCCGACAACACTGCAAAGGCATTCTCGCGAACCTACCGGAAGGCAGAAGCGAAGCAGATTCGAAGATGCCGTCGGCCCGCGGTGGACTCGGACGTGCCGTGATCGGAGTGCAGTCTCGGTGGAAAGTCGATCTGAGAGATGGGAAGTGTACCGGCGAGGACGAAATTCGACGAGAGACGCTTCCAATCGAGCGAAGAGCCCCGGACAGATGCTGGAGAAGCCATCGAGGAAATGCGATGTCTTCAGTGTTTTTTTTTTTCGCTTTCATACCGGCTGCGCACTGACGGCAAAATACTTTTCGTAAGTCTCTCAAAATAATCCGGGAAATTGCACAGTTTCGTACTCCCATCTGTCTCATCCTGGGAGGACCACAATAGATTATGCTACGCTCGCCGATTCCGTTCTAAAAAGAGGTGTGAAGTATTTTTCCATTATTGCCCATCAATCTGAGAATTTCCCTGAGAAAAACTGTAGATGTGCTTCGTGGATCTCGAAAGTCGTACGATCGCGTGCATTAAGAGGAAACTTGGGAGCACTTCAAGTGTGTAGAATTAACGGACAAGCCATCGAAGGCCATTCATCCCTTATAGAGAGACTGCTGGAGGAGCGAGACGAGCCAAGGACATGTGCCCTCGAAGGCCCTCAAGGCCCTCGAGGGACCAACATCGGTCGTTTCGGCCCGATCTGGTGGCTCAGAGCGCGCTGGGACGGTTCGGCTCTGAACGCATTGTAATCTGAATCAAAACTCACTGGATTATCGTGCTAGCTGAATCGGGATCGTCCAAGGCAAAAATCTCGGTTTTTGAAATTCGTGTATCTCCATACATCATGGCCTTTTATGGTCGTGATGCGCCGACTGTTAAGTCCAGCTTCGAGCGGCTACAATTGCTCGGTTTCTACATGTGGTTGGTGGAAATGCTTCATGCTATTTGACGTCATGAACCAGGCAAGATTTGAAACTGCACTTAGGCAATCGAGGAATTCGCCGGGAAAAGGGCGTCTGTGCTTCGCGGTAAGGAAGTAATACTCTCCATCCTTCCGCTAGATGGCGGGCAGATTCCAGCTCTCCCATCGAGAAGGGAAAAAAAAGACGAGTCATTCCAGTCATGGAAGGGAGCCAGAAGGAAAAGAAAACGGAACAATGGCGAGCTTATGCGGGTGAGACTAATGAAACCTTTTCTACATGCTAGCATTTTCCCCTTCTTCGAGGAAAGTCTTCTTAGAGATTAATTCAGCGATAAATTAATACTTAGCTGGTTAGCTGAGAGTCCCCTGGCATCGGGGACGAGGTGAGAGCCTTTGAAAAGGAAATCGAAGGAATTCAACGCGACACTGCACAGAGACATCTCGCAACTGGGACGCCGCTTCGTGTGGTTAAATGAAGTGGTGGGCACTTCCGATACCATTCACCCCGGGCCGGATAAAGGGGAGGGGCTGTTGCCCCGGGCCCCACTTTTCCAGGGGGCCCTCGAAGGAGATTAAACAAGTATTTGCGTAAAGTAACAGGGGGGAGGGGTGGGAGACTGCCCCTCCTCTGGCCAAGTTCGCAGTCTCTTTTTCTAATTTAGAAAGCACATAAGTTAATGTTTATTAGCTGCTGTGAAATGAATATTCAGGGTTTTACCTCAGACGAAAAATGAATAGGGCGGTGCCAGATTGGGGGGGGGGGGGTGTAGGCTCGGAACTAGGAAACAAGCTCCCCTTTATGAGTAATTTCTATATCCACCTCTGACTTCAGCTACCGACGATGATTTAAGAGTATATGCTGCAGAAGAAAACTCGAAAAAAAATATGACTTCCACATACTTCCTTAGTAAGAAATTGGACAGCGGGCACCGTTTCATTCCTTAAAATGACTGGAAATGGCAACTGCGAGGATGATTGGAAAGGTTCTGATAGCGAAGATATGATAAATAACGAAAATTTTCATATCAGCTTGAAATGGAAAACTTAGTTTAAGCCCAAAGTTCTGAAAATTTTCCTGTTTTTCTCGAATTGTGTTTTGCATGCAATTTGCATTCTTGCAAATAATTCCACATAAGCTTTTAAAATTTATTAACGGGAACTTCTCAAGTATCAAGTTATCAAACGATCAGTACAGCGGATCTATTTGTCCTTTATCTGATTTGATGGATTTGATCTTGTTCCTATCTAAAATCGGATGCAAAATAATACAAAATAAAGATGATGATAAAATATAAATAAACAAAAATGAACGATTCGTTTTCTGTTCCGACCCGATTCGGGTCATGTCGATCGATCCGGATCCGTCGAAGTCGATTCGTTTTCTTAACGAGGTTTTATTTTTCCATATGTGCTTTTGCATGCAAAATGAGGAAGAGCATGAAAGACCGCATTCTTCCACGTGGGAATTTCCGAGATGATCGAGTGCATTTGTGCGAAAGATAAAGGAAAACCGTCCCATACTCGAAACACCCGTAACATCGCGGTGGCATGACAGGTAAATCACGCAAAACCGCCAAAACCCATCGTTTCTGCACAGACACGAAGGAATTCGCAATTTCAGCACTTGTTGGTGAGATTGGCAGTGCGATTCCCCGCCATCGTCCAGATGTTCTCGGCCATTTCTCGAAAGCGCCTCGCGTCTTGACCGGAGCTGAGCTTCAGAAGAACGATCACGTACGATGCGATGCTCTTGAGCAGCTAAAAAGAATTTATGTTAATTAATATTATTCATTCGTTCATTTTTTTAATAACATATCTTGGGATCATGAGCATCTAAAAGCTTTGTTTGTAAGGACTCCCTCCCTCGGGCGCCTGTTTATGCAATTTTCATTTTAAAGATGCAATATTGCCAGACATCGCAAATATCAAACCATTAAAATTTGCAC